CTTCAAAAGACTTCAAAAAAAAACTTTATAAATACTTCAAGTTTACTTAGAAGTAAATTGGAACAAGTTTACTTCAAAAAGTAAGTTTACTTCAAACTAAACAACTTAAAGTAACTTTTTAGTTACTATTGAAGTTAACTTAAAGTTTTTTTTTGAGTTTACTTGAAGTTAACTTGAAATTTTTCTTGAACATTATTTAATTTTTTAAAAGATTCTTTGGGTTTGACATTGTAGTTAGTAGGCCATTTTGCTCTCATTTTTGTGAAACGCTTTGCAACTTAAAATCTAAAGAAAGATTCTATCTAGAATCCAAGTGGAATTCCTTACTAAATGAAAACAAGTACCAATGACATATCTTCTTTGGGAGGGGAATTAATTCAAGATTTCACTCAATTTAACCTTTGAATGCCCGATTCATCTCGCCGATTGACCGATGAAAACTCAGGTGTAAAGGACCAAACCTGAAAAAACCCTAAGCGTAATGGTGGAATTTGAACTCGAGATCACTATATTCACAGCCCTTACACTCAGTCCGCGAGACCACTTGTTTCTTAATAAATCGTAATTATTTTTATCAACTTAATCTCAAGCTATCTTAAACATTTCGATTATTATTTATTTAAATTATTATTTTAAAATTATTGCAGTGCAATATGGATACCCTGCAACAATGGATAAAAATATTTTTTTTATTATTGTTAATTTAAAATACATTTTTACGACGTGAACAAATTTTTTGTTGATATATTTGCTGATTATACTGTTCAACATAGTTTTGGGACCTGAATATACACAGTGTTTTTTAATAATATTTTGGTCGCTGAAAACGAATCCGGCGGCGAAATTAGCTTACTACCTGCTATCATGTCAGGTTTCCGAAAAACTTGAGGTTAAATGTGCCAAAATTGGTATTTTTGGCCAATAGTTACCAGGTTTTGCGACGAACTAAATGTTTTTTTTCAATTTTACTTACGCCACATTAAAGTGCTATCTTTTATCTATAATATGAATTTGTATTTAGTACGCTACGTCTTTTATATACATAATTACCATATTATAAATCATTAAATTGAATATAAATAAGATTTTTGTTAGACAAGAACGTAGTCACGCACTTTAGCATGTTACTTATCTCATGAAATTGTTTATTTCTTACTATTTTAATTCAAATAAACTTATATTTCATACATTTATAAGTAGTATCAATTTATACAACTAATTTGTAATATGGTATTTATGTGTGTGTTTAGAAAAAAATTGTGCCGTAATAAATTCATATTATAGATAAAAGATAACAGACAGATGTGGTGTAAATAATATTACCAATTTACTTTGACGAAAAAATAATAGTAAATATAACCAAAAACGCCAATTTTGGCACATTATCTTACTAGCAAACAAACTTTCAAGTAAACTTGTAAGTCTTTTGAAAGCTATGAGCAGCTTAGATTACTAGCAACATTTGATATATATATATATAAACTTCAAGTTTTCCAAAAACTAAAAGAATCTTAGTTAATCTACAAAACTAAAAGTAAACTTTAAGTTTTGGAAAACTTAGAAGAATCTTAATCTACTTTCAAACAAAACTAAAAGTAATCTTCAAGTTTTATAAGCTATTTAGTAAACTTCATTAAAAAATTTTGGCAACTTTGAAGAAACTTCAAGTTAACTTGATGGAATCAAAGTAAACTTCAGAGAGACTTAAAGTTTTATAAATTACTTAGAAACCTTCCTTAAAAAACTTTGGGAGCATTAAAAAAAACTTCAAGTAAATTTAATGAAATTAAAGTAAACTTCAAGTATACTATAGGATTTTAAAGTTACTTTAAAAAATCTTGAAAAGTAAATTTTCCTAAGGGACACTAACAAAAGTTTGATGTTTTTGTGTAAGTAATGTATTAAAAATACGCAGTTGTGAATTTGTAGCCGATTACATAAAAGATGGTCTGAAAGATGGTCAATGTGACACAATTTTATTGTTTGTGACATTAATTAAGTCAGATTTAAATTAAAATTTTGTGTCAAATTGATTATAAAACGTTTGAAATAATAGACAAAAATTTAATCGAAGCAAAGAGAATTAATGCACTATACAGTAGCGCACTGATACAGATCATAGATTCGTAAGTTATAAGTTTGAAAACTTAGAGTACATTTTTAGTATAAGAGGATTATTTAAGAGAGTTGAATGTACATACATATACAAAAGCGTGGAAAACAAAAAGTCTTCAAGTGTCACGTGTCCTTTCGATGAGAAGAAAAGAATCAATTCTACCTGTCTTGATAAAATTATGTTCGCGTAGTTCCTACGGGAATTTCATTTCATCAAAAGTTGTATCGCCGTTTCCTCATGGAGCTGTTTGACTTTGTCGAAAGTTTATAGCTCCAAATAACAAACAAGATAAGTCTTCTTTGAAAAACTTTGAAAAACTTTGAAGTTCTATTACAAATCTTATCATAAGTAGTATATAAATGAGAGTACAATACACACGCTTGCGCACTTGTAGTTAATTTCGAGAAGTATTTACTGTATTTAGATATTGATATAAATTTGTCTACTGAATCTAGAACTATCTAGAACTATCTAAATCTAGTAGAACTTTTTAATTGTTATGTACATGACACTATAATAAATAATTGATTAAAACCGACATGTTTTAAAAAGATATATTATTCTATATAAGGTTTCTGAAAACTTTTTTGATACAGCCGAAGTATGAAGATAGATTGGGTTCATCTAAACAGTAAAGTCATTTATCATTTTGTAAACATCGTAATATTTATTAAGTTATTAATTAATAAATGTAAGCCAATAAGCGCATAGGAAGAGATAATCTAGATTTTGTAAGCGTGTATATTTTCAAATAAAAAAAATGATTTACTTCTTAGCAATGAGAGACAGAGCAAACAAGCGAGCGGCGTGTGACACAGCTTCTTGCAATCAACTGATTTTCACAATTAAAAATCATACATGCCCAAGAATTCGGACCATTGCTATACACGCGTTCATTAGCTCGCATTCATTAATATTATTTATTAATTAATATCTCAAGAATTATTGCGAATTTTGTAAATTGGTAAATAATTTTTCTGTTTAGATTGACTCAATCTACCCTTATGCTTAGTTTTCATGCTCAGCATTAATATTTTTATACGTAAATTTTAGGGCAAAAATGCAAGTCTTTTGTAAAAAAATAGCTGTCATTTTGAACAATCAGTATTTTGAAAAATTCTTTACGTACTTCTCTAGTGTTTATGTGTAAATACTGAAAAGTTTTTGTTTTGTTTAAGGTCAAACCGTGTGCGTAAACTCTTGTATACCGATTTGAAGCTGCAAAAAAAAACATTTCCGTAAGTAGACCAGTACGCCGCTATTTTGAACATAAGAAAAATAAAAAAATTATTTTTTAATTTGTTTCATATGTACAATGAAGTCTTCTAAGCAAATTTTCAATAAAATTTATTTACTCAAACTTTATTTACACAAAATATTCTCAAACTTACGTATCATTTTAGAACCTCAAAAGTCCTTAAAAAACTAACTTTTTAATATCTAATCTCAATAATTATTGCAAATTTTGCAAAATGATAAATAACTTTTTTAGTCAGACTGATCAATCTAATTTTTCATCCTGCATATGTATATAATTTTTTCTTTATATATCTTTTATATCAAACATCTATATCTATCGATATTTAAAACTTACAAAAAAATAGTTTTAATTTTTTGCGCAACAGCACATTCAACTTTGTCATTAAATTATCAAATAATATATAAGTGTTACTCTGATATAATAATGTTTTTTCTTTACGTAAAATTGTTTGAAATGAAGAATAAATAATATAACTCTAAAGAATAAGCTGCTCCACTTTTTAAAACGCTTTCTTTACGATGTTTTTGTTTTGCGTTAAAATTCTGTATTTATTTGTGTCTTTAATAAAGACACTATTACTATTATTGTTGTTATTGTTATTATTAAAAGTAATTATGCATCTAGAGACATAAATAGTGTCTCGTGTCAATCTATTCAATTCAAAATTTATGTGGTTTACATCTACAGATGTCGAATAGTATATTTCGGAAATACTTTTGGAATTAATTGAAATTCGTGGATGTCATTGTATTCGAAGTACATGTATATTGTACACTTTGTGACAAGACATAAAAAGTAGAACACTTTCATGTCAGCTTCGACAATAGTGTAATGTGCGAATAAAGTGCCGTTTTTGAGTCAACATGGAAACATAATAATTAGTAAAAAACGCAAAAAGACCGGTAAGCCGCTGTAATCCACTGGTGAAGGTGGCAAATATAAATAAATAATCAATATAAATAATGTCTACTTAGACATACAGGACGTTTCGATCCAATTTATTGTGATCATCTTCAGCCAAACTACAAAAACAGAAATCAGTTACAAGAGTTAAATTGATTCAAAGTTATAATCAAGATAAAGAAACCGTATTCAAATAAATATTAAACAAAACAAAAACACACCTTGCAAAGGCCGATGTACTGCAGACAAACAACAAGCCGCGAATCAGAGAATCAAAAACAAGGATAAGCGAAGATCAATGCTGTTATCTCCGCATCCCTGATTACTAAATCAAAAAATANATAATGTAAACTAAGTCAAACATATCGAGTTAACGATTAAGTCTTAGTATAATAAAAACAATTAAGTAAAGTCAAGTGAACAATTAAGTCAAAAGGTAAAATTTGTAATAAAGTCAAAAACAAAAAGGACAGCCATAAAAAATTAATAAATGAAAAAAGAAAACCGGAATAAATTAAAGTTAACATAAAAGCTAAAAACTTACTGATGATTGACAAATTATCATAATTGACTCCCGTACTGAAACGCAGCAAACTGCAAGTCACACAGACACTCAACCGTTACANTCAACATAACAAATAACGATAAGCAATGACGAAAAAGTAGCCGGCCGAAAGGCAAGTTAAAACGTCAAAGCGGTAGGAGAGGCACCCCACGTGACTAACTACCAAACTTCTCAATCAGGGAAGTATAAACCGGATCTAATAATTCGGTATCCGTCATGGAATTTATGCAATTTTTTTGCATTTTTATGTTCAACATTTCGGAAACCAATCTTCTCTGAAGGAAATGCTCGGTGTCTAAAACCTCAACTTCGTTCCACAAAAAATCATGACCGAACTCATTGCGATGCTTGCTTACAACTGATTGACGGTTTTGATTGAGATAAATATTTTTATGATGTTCAGAAATTCTAGTACGTAATTGTCTACTAGTTTGTCCAACATATGAAGCATCGCAAGATGAACAGTTTATTTTGTAAACAACATTACACAATGAGTCATGACTGAGATCATCCTTGTGGACTTTAATAAAGTTCCTTAATGTATTTAAAATTCTGAAAGAGAGCTTAAAATCATTTCTTTTTAACGACTTAGAAATGGAATCAGTAGTGCCCGAAACAAATGGCAAGGTAAAGTAACCTCTCGCACCACTCAAACGTTCACTCTCTGGATTGTACTCGCCATTCACCACATTGAGTTTGCCTGAGAATAGACAATGTAATCTCCTTCTTACAGTTTTAAAAATAAGGTCTAGAGGGTAATCGTTAGCTAATAAAATTTGGATTGCTTTTATTAAATTTCCATTATGGAAAGATGGATGTGAAAGGAGAACTGCTCTGTCTATTATGCCGTAAATAATACCTATTTTTTGATTCAATGGATGCTGCGAAAAGAAGTTTAAATAACGGCCCGAAAATGTTGGTTTGTGATACCAATTAAGTAACAATTTGTTGTTTATCACAGAAATTGAAGTGTCCAAGAAGTTAATTGATCTACCCTCCTCGATCTCAATGGTAAATTTTAGCCTTGGATGGTAGGAATTGAAACAATTGAAAATGGGATCAATATGCTCTCTCGGAGCTGCCATTAAGATGTCATCAACATAACGGAAATAGAAAGGAGGAGTTATGTTTAACGAATTCAGGCAATGAGTCTCAAGATCTTGTAAGACGATGTCGACAATAATTGGCGAGAGAGGCGATCCCATGGGAGTTCCAAAGGTTTGTTGGTAAGTAATACCATTGAAATCGAAGAAGGTTGAAGATAAGACAAATTCAAGGGCTCGAATGAAAGGATCCAACGGGATTTTGGTGTGATCCTTAATGCTATCCCACCTCTTCCTTACACCATCCAAAGCCAAGTCTAACGGAATGTTGGTGAACAGCGAGACAACATCAAGTGAAAACAATACGTCCGCATCACGCATATGCATACCTGACAAACCTCTATAGAGCTCGAAACTGTTACGGATAAAACTACGTGGTTGAGGTAAGTTTTTATATAAAATTCTTTGTAAAAATGAAGCGAACTTATAAAGAGTGGTGTGCGTACAAGAAACGATAATCCTGAAAGGATTACCAGGTTTATGGACCTTTGGAAGACCGTAGGCTCTAGGAAGAGGTTTGTCATTACAAATTAGAGAATAATATTCATTTTTGCTTATATAGTTCGCATTACACCACGACTTTAAACATTCATTAAGTTTGTTTTCTGTTCTCCTTGCAGGGTTCTTTATCTTCGATTTGTCATAAGTATTCTTATACTATAATAATTAGTACAAATATATATAAATAGTCATAGAGCCGTTTGCTGGATGTTTGTGCTGAAATATGCGTGTATATGTATATATATATATGTATAGTATATATATATATATATATATATATATATGTGTGTGTGTATATATATACTATACATATATATATATATATAGCGCCATTTTGACGCTTAAACATCTGATAGCGGATTTGTAATCAACGATCCAAAAAACCAGCAAAGAGCAGATTCGGATTTGGCATCGAAAATTACATAGAAAATGAGTACTCTTATTCCTGTTTCTTTTCCAACCCGATTGTTGTAGGCTTTCGATTAAACCGCCATATTGAATGCATCATGGTATATTTGGACGGATCGACATCGGATTTATAATCAGCAATTTTAATAAGTAGTATTGTGTTTTACTTCAGACGATAAAAACTAGTCCACGTAAATTACTCTTTTTCAAACCCCATTTTACGCATTAAATTGTGTTTCGGTCGCCATATTAGGGTCGACATTTTATCAAAAAATTATTACGGCATTTAAGTGCTGCTACTTAAACGACTATTTTTATACTTGACTGGACATTTTTTCACAGCTTTTTTCTGTCTTGCATCAATACTGTTCAACAATACAGGTTGAATCTACGTTTGGCTGCCATAGTGAAGCCGCTATTAAAGATATTCGAAAGGAGCCAAGTGCCTTTTGAAAGTAGACGTCAATACAAACATTTTAAGTTCTTTTGCGTTAATTTTGGGTGACCTGAATTTTGGGCAGAGCACTGATCCGGTTGACGTGGATCGTCCCATATATATATATATATACGTGTTCACGTGCAAATCTGTACACGTGAATTAAAGACACAAATAAATACAGAATTTTAACGCAAAACAAAAACATCGTAAAGAAAGCGTTTTAAAAAGTGAAGCAGCTTATTCTTTACAGTTATATTATACATATATATACGTGTTCACGTACAAATTTGTACACGTGAGTTTTTGAATTGAGATTTCAATCCTTAAATTCATATAGGATGATTTTTTTCGCAATATTTTAAAAATCAGTTAAAGGATATACGGGGTCTATCATATATAAGATGCAAATATAGCATCCTATTTTGAAGCCTTGTGAGACAAGAAAACTTGGAAATACGATTAGTACAATTTTAGCAGAAGCGTCAGAGAGAAACATATGTCTATCCTTGGCTCTCTCATGTCATCTATCCTTGTTTTGGTTTGATTCGGTCCCGAGAGATGGCGCCACCTACCCGATAGCATAACGGTTGAGTAGCAGCTGAGCGAACTTTTGCCAGCGATTCAGCATCCTCTTAACTGATACTGAAGGGAGAGGACGCACAACAGTATCAGCGGGCAAAACGTGACATAAATATAAAGCGATCGAGTCTCTAACCTTTCGCCGGTCGTCACGAAGCTTCCACAAAGAACGCCGTATTACTACTACGAGCGCTTTGGTTAATCCGCCTTTTATACTAGGCACGCGGTGGGGAGGGAAGCGATATAAACAAGACCCGGCAAGCACTGAGTTTTTGCTTTTTCCTCGAACGTGTTATTTATTACAACATTGAACAAAATATTTCAACTTAAATAAACTTATTATTTACTTGAACAGTAACCGCTTTGCGGCTACTTACACTATATGAATTTAAGAAAAAAAGTGAGTTTTTGAAATTTCAATTCAAAAACTCACGTGAACAAATTTGCACGTGAACACGTGCATATATATATTTTAGCACAAACATCCAGCGAACGGCTCTATGACTCCATTTATATATATTTGTTAAATTTTCGGGAGCCTTAAAAATCTCTGATAATAATTAGTAATTACTGCATTTATGATGATTACATTCATCAAAAAGAATTTACCGAGTCGGATCAAACACGCGAGAATAAAAAGCTGCTGTATTATTTAGATTTAAGTACGACACAACACGGTAAATAAGTATTCCGATAGGAAAATATTTATGAAATTATGTGACAAAATCTTGCATGGGAAAATTGTGATTTGCAATTATGTAGATAAATTTTGAGAAATATATTTTATAAAAATATTGATTTTTTATAAAATATTTGTTTGCAAAATTAATTTCCAAATGCTATTTTGGCAAAACAATAACAATATGGCAAATCATCTTATACATATATATACGTATACATATATATAGGCGATATATATAGACAAATGTTGAAAATATTGTACAAAAATGGCATCATAAATGACGACGATTTTGCAATAATTGCACTAAGATATGATTTGCCATAACGCAACAGTTTTGTCAAAATAAAATTTTGTAAATAATATTTTTCAAAAATTAGAAAAGAAAAAATTAGAAAATAAAAAAATAAAAAAATATATTTTTCAAAAATTAGAAAATTAAATATTATTTACAAAATTTTATTTTGACAAAACTGTTGCGTTATGGCGAATCATTTTAGTGCAATTATTGCAAAATCGTCATTTATGATGATATTTTTGTGCAATATTTTCACAATTTGCCTATTAGAGTAATAAGTAATAATAAACGATTCTGCTCACGCAGAAGTTTTTTTCTTATTGTTATAATAATTACATTATATATAATTACCGTTAAAACAATTTCTCATTGAGAAAATCAGAAAGCTCGAAAATAAAAAGTTCTTCTCTTACACAGACTTTAACACGATGTAATTCACGATTTGCGAGCACACAAAGCGCATGTGCGTAGCTGTTGTAAACAAGGGATTTAATTATCACTATCTTAATTAATGAAATATGTGAGCGCACAGATGTTTTTCCGGTGAAAATTTTTTCTGGTCAAACTATATAATTGTATGCGATCGTCAATTACAAATATTTTTGTTATAAAAGTATACAATTGCGAAATTTCGAGCCTTGTGAATGCGATATATACATATAAATAAATTATATATATATATATAAATCTGCTTCAAATTTGATAGTAACATATTGTAACGTAATAAAAGACTCGGTTTCATTGAAAATTAATGTCGTAAGATATCATCTGTAATGGAGCAATAGTATAACACACATTTTATTTTTTTCGAGATACACATTGCATAATCCATATCGAATTATTTGTTGCATAATACTCGATAAAAATACACGTCTTTAGAAAAACCTGAACAGTTAAAGCAGTAAAGTACATAAATTTTGAATTGAAAGGCAGTTATAACTATCAGATTATATTAGTCAGATATCGAAATCATTTAGATTGTTTTGAGTTATAGGGAAATGTTATATTGTGTCTACATTAGCATAGAAAAACTAATACACTTTGTCAAATTTTTATTCCGAATAGTACTATATATCAAAGTTACATAATAGCTGTAATCTCTCTCTTTCTTTTTTTTTCTCTTCTTTTCTCTCGCTCACTATTTGTGGGTTAAATGGTGAGCGATCGACAAACATATCGCGTGAAATTTGCTTTTCCGCTAATTGCCGCGTGCGCATTTCTTTCCTTTTTTCCATTCTCTGTGTCATACATTTCGGATCGTAACTCTCTCACTTCGCGTTTTAACTCTTTCCCTCCTCCAGTTAAATCTGAAAAATGAGTGCTGAGAGTCGCCGGCAGGTGTTCGTTAATCCGCACGGGATTAAAATCGGGGTCGCGATCTCGTTCCTACCTCTCGCGTTCCTACCTTTTATATCCGTTTTTATTTTGCGAATGCGTGACGACAGCTCTTTTGACACCGTGGATGAGTCATTATTTTGTTTTTCTTTTCTCAGTATATTATTTTATCGTCAAAATATTATTTTAAGATAAAGATATTTGTACCGTAAAAATACAATATTAAACTATATCTTACAATACTCTTGTTATGTAATTAACACTGAAATAAACGAGTGTTTTATTCACATTTCATTATCAATATTTGGTAGCATAGAAAAAAAATTTTTTTATTCATAAATTGATAAATATCTATAAATATATTTTTCAATCAATTTATCCGTTTGTCAATTTATTATTTTCGTAGAAAATACACAAGATACGTGTGGAATAAATTTTTTCCTTACTTACTTTAGCAAATATAATAAATAAAATAAGAGTTTTTGATAAGTGAGAGTGTATCTTGCCAATCTTTGATACCGATTGCATATAAATAAACCAGTGTGGTTAAATTGTACAACTAAAATTCATATATATCATCGTTGACGTCACAATTCAATATGGTTTCAACAACAGAGAAAGCAGCCTTAAAGCGGGTCGTCAAGCGCTCTTGCAAATGCGCTGCGATAAGCGATGATTTATATAACTAAAACTTGTATGGTCCTTACCGAATGTAAAGCAGGGAAAAAATGTCATAATTGATAATCCTTCGAGGAGTACTGAAAACCGAAGCGCGCGAAGCTATTTAAAACCGTCGTAAATGAATATAAAAATGTGATTTGAGCCGAATTCTAATTTTAATTTTAACTCTTTTCCTTGTTATTTGTTGTTAAAAATTTTCTACAAATAAAAATTTATATTTTTTTATTTTATGCAAGATGTCAATTGCATCTCGAAAACCAAGATTCAATTATATTTAACCCTTAAACCCCACACTTTATCCCCGTAACCTAACCTAATATAAACCCCATTGAGAGTTCAGCATCCTTTGGAGAATATCTATGATTTTTTTCAAGATGAAAAAATGAATAGAGTAATTTCTAGAACCTTTTTAAAGAGGCTGAGGTTCACTGAACCCCAAAGGATGCTGAATCAAGGTCAAGTCACAAAGAGGGTGACTCGAACTACCGGCAGATAATGCAAATTTCGCTTTGGAGTTTTACTTACTTAAAAGTACGCTCAAAGTTATGCTGAGGTCCCATGGACCCTCTGGTGGGGTGTAAGAGTTAATGATAATGAAATACCCAGATCGCAAATTGACTCATAAATCACGGTAACACAAAACGTGTAATCTAAAAGATGCAAGAAATACTGTCTCCATTCTGGCCTACATATCTTCCAGACATTCTCTACTTTATATTGTACATAATTTTAATTTTGTCTTTGTAGTGTATTACTAAAGAATTTATTTCAGAAATCAATAAGTTAATATCAAACGTATAACAATAAAATATCGATCTTTTTATCCGTTATTTAGAGTAAAGATGCCTCTTATGAGATACCTTTTTTTAAAGGGTTGTAATTTATTAAATATGTAATCTTAACTCTTAGTTTTATGTCAAACTTATAGAATATATATTTACGTTTTATCGCCAAAAGTTAGCAATCGATAATAGCTACACTTTGTTTTATGTGTAATATAATTTTTTATCAAAAGTGCCGATTTATTGATTCAAAAAAAGGGTTCCAAATATGAAACACAATTTTTTTTTTATAGAAATCTCAGCAACAACAGAACTATTGTCATTCTTAACATATCGCTCAATAGTATGTTTTAGGACACTGTTTTAGGGATTGTTTAGATGCTTTTGAATATTTTATTTGTTTGCTTCTTACTGCCTTAACAGTCTTTAATTGACTGTGAGACCACGATTGCTTCTTCTTTGCCTCCATCTGAAAATATAATTATTAAAAACTTATTAATACATCAAATAAAGAACTTGACAAAATAAAGAATTGTACTGTTCTTAATATAAAGTACTTCATATTAAGAGCAGCTGCGTGTCTGATATTAGAGAATATAAAATTGTAGAAAGTTTAAGTTTATACCGACAAGATATGCAATAAATTGACAAATCTACATGATAAATTATATACTATATAGTACATATGTACATTTGAATGAATTGAAATGACAGTGAAGCCTGTGACATAAAAGTGTTAAATACATGTTTTAAAGCTATAATGATTTTTTTTCTCTGTGTGTACGCGATAACTCCTTCGTAGACGTCACCTTCAACAGTGAGCGACACTAACATAAAGTTTGATGTTTTTGTGTAAGTGATGTGTTAAAAATACGCCGTTATGAATTTGTAGCCGTTTATATAAAATAGCTTGCTATCTCGTAGTAGGCGAGTAGGTATCTCATAATAGGCACCTTTACCTTAACATTTTCTTAATCGACGATCGATCATGTTGTTCTCTCTTTCTACAATAACTCTATGTACATAAATATTGTAAAAAAATTTTCAATAGATTATTTGTACTTTTTATGCAGTTTATATATTGATGTTATGTTTTATATGTGTTTCTAGAAAACGTATTCGATTAAAATTCGATTGCCGGTTTTGAAGAGTCGCTTTACTTCTGCGTTCACTAGGATGTATTAATCTATCTGTTTAAATTATAAAATTAAAATCTGAACGAAATAACGCAAAAAGAGAAAGTTTTTTTTATAATAATTACTAACTTTATTGTTTTATTGAAAGCCGATTAAAAACGTCGTAACAAAAATAACGCGACTCTTGAGTCGTCGTGTGAAAATCGATAAAAGTCTCCCTGCGCGTATCGCGCACGCGCAGGTTCCGACATCAAGTTCATATTGCGCACAATTCCTGATTTGTTACCGTGTTTGATCATCGCTGTCAAAATGTCATCTGTGACGACCAAGCTACAAGATGACATGAGCAGCATACCTTTGGCGGACGACGATCCTCAGGGTGAGAATATGTCAAGCTATTTTTATTCCGTAATGTCTTGGCATTTCTACGACTTATTAATGATCATAACCTAGCAACTGTGTTCGGAGTAACTTTACATCAAGTTATTATAATCTAATTGTTATTTAACACTGTTTATTTATTCGATTTCACGCTGATTCGACTCGTTTGATAATTTTACGTTTGATAGTTTGTGTAATATATACAATTAGTCATATTTGAAATTGGATATACAAAAGCATTATAATGTAATTCATGTTTGTTTACCAGTTGTTATAAAACACTATGTGGTAACAATGAGCTTTAAAATAATTTAATTTTCTTTATTTTTGTACAAATTTTGTTACTTAGTCTTGCAATAATTGACTTTTGACATGCTACTTGTTTTATATAATATGCAATTATCTGGATGTTATTTTGGATGTTTTATTGTGTATAAGTATAAAGCTTTAGCTAAGAAATTTCTTAATAACAAATTGTTTTTATATTCTTTACAGTGATAATACCTGAAGAGGAAATTTTGGACAATATCTCGCATATATCTGATGCATTAGGCAGAGGACGTAGCATGGATTCTATTCCATCAACATTTACTAATGGGAGTTGTAGCCCCAACAGTAAGTAAGAGTATTAATTATAATAGAAGAGGAGTATAGAAACGCTTCAAAAAAATTATCATAAGAACAGGAAAATTATCATGGCTCTTTGAAGCAAAAAACACTGATGATAATGTGTGTGTGATAGCAGTATTATTTTATTCAAGCACGTAATATATAAAACGTTTTCGGCCTTAGATTAGGCCTTTATCAATATATATCTACAAAATAAATCAATTGTTAGATTCGCAAAAATTTATAAAAATTACAACTTACAGACAAGTAGATGAAATTTGTCACTTGATTAACGCACATAATAATGTTGTTCTTGAATTAAAAACTTAATCGAATCACATGATTACAATTTGGAAATATAAAAGTAAATGAGGACCGACAGAAGTGTGCAGCGGTTTAATTATAAGTCAAAGCCGTTATCAACGCTCAAGCGACATTAATATGTACTATCAACAAAAGGTAAGTATGATCTGTCAAGATTTTCAGTGTCGCTATGCAGGTTAAGACCATGGCTTTGGCTTCTTATATATAGAGTTTCTGATATCAAGCGTTTAACGTAAGATATTTCATTGTCTAAAATTTTAACATTGTCCCAATCAAAATCATGAGAGCATTGAATCCTGTGATCTGTAATAACCGATCCTTGAGAAGAATTTCTTCTAATATGATTTTTATGTTCAATGATTCTTAGGTGTAACATTCTTCTAGTCTGTCCAACGTATGAAGCATCACAGTCCAAACAATTAATTCTATACACAACGGAAGGTCGTTTGGATATTGGAAGAGGATCTTTTAATAACATTACACATTTAAGCAATAATAATAAAATCAAATGTCGTAATAGATTTGTATCTGTTCTTAAACAAATGAAAGTTTCTCAATTTACCAAATCACATTATGATGATGATATTCAACAAGCTCTCAAAATCACTCAACAGTTTACTAAAAGTCATCCTTCCATTGTGTTTACTAGAGCTGATAAGGGTAATTCTGAAGTCGCATTGGATAGATATAATTACATTACTCAAATTGAACTTTTACTTTCTGATATCAACACATATTCTATTGTTAAAAAGAATCCTGTGAATTCCATCATTACGTCTTTAAAAGATATGTTAAAAAGATGGAAAACGCGTGAATACATCACAGAATCAACATACAAACACTTAAACGTTTCACACACTATTCTTCCTAGAGCCTACGGAGTTCCTAAAATCCACAAACCTGGCAACCCTTTTAGAATCATTATATCTTCTACCAACAGTCTTCTACACAATTTGGCTATATTTTTACACAATATTATTTCTAAAAATCTTGATTCTCCACCTACATGTGTTCTCAATAGTTTCCATCTTGCTAGCCGTATCTCTAGGGTGATATTCGAACCATCTTTTGAATTGATATCTCTTGATGTCATATCATTATTCACTAACATTCCTCTGGATCTCGCTATCAAGGGTCTTGAAAAGAGATGACAATTGATTAAGCTCAACCACCTTATCCAAAGAAGAATTTTTTACGGCCATCAATTTTGTTTTTAACTCAACATTTTTTCTTTTCAATGATAAAATATACAAACAGACCTTTGGTGCTCCCATGGGATCTCCTCTTTCACCGATTCTAGCAGATATAGTCATGCAGGATCTAGAATCGTTCACCATTAGTTCTTTATCTTTTATCCCACCTCTACATGTCAGATATGTAGATGACATAGCTCTTATGGTTCCATCACACCAATTTGATAATGTTTTAGAGATTTATAATTCATATCATCCACGTTTGCAATTCATCATGGATATTGGCTTGGATAGACTTAATTTTCTGGACATTACAATTATAAAACATAACAATAAACTTATTCACGACTGGTACCACAAACCGACATTCTCAGGCAAATACTTAAATTTTTTCTCCAACCATCCTATTTGCCAAAAAAGAGGTACTGTTATTAGTCTTGTCGACAGGGGCTTCTTTTTATCTCACCCACAATTTCATGCCAAAAACTTTGACTTAATTTTTAACATTTTAATTAATAACAATTATCCATATGACTTCATTTTTGATATTTACAAACAAAGACTGAAATATAATTTTTTTAAAAATAATGACATAAGAAGATTCTTGTCAAACAATTCTTCGAATGAAATTCCAGTACGTTGGTTTGTGATGCCTTATATTAATAACTTTTCTAACAAATTTGTTAATATATTTCCGAAAGAGAATAACACTCACTTTGCCTTTTATAGCATTGACAAATTGTCCAGATTTATTAAAGTTTTAAAAGATCCTCTTCCAATATCCAAACGACCTTCCGTTGTGTATAGAATTAATTGTTTGGACTGTGATGCTTCATACGTTGGACAGACTAGAAGAATGTTACACCTAAGAATCATTGAACATAAAAATCATATTAGAAGAAATTCTTCTCAAGGATCGGTTATTACAGATCACAGGATTCAATGCTCTCATGATTTTGATTGGGACAATGTTAAAATTTTAGACAATGAAATATCTTACGTTAAACGCTTGATATCAGAAACTCTATATATAAGAAGCCAAAGCCATGGTCTTAACCTGCATAGCGACACTGAAAATCTTGACAGATCATACTTACCTTTTGTTGATAGTACATATTAATGTCGCTTGAGCGTTGATAACGGCTTTGACTTATAATTAAACCGCTGCACACTTCTGTCGGTCCTCATTTACTTTTATATTTCCAAATTGTAATCATGTGATTCGATTAAGTTTTTAATTCAAGAACAACATTATTATGTGCGTTAATCAAGTGACAAATTTCATCTACTTGTCTGTAAGTTGTAATTTTTATAAATTTTTGCGAATCTAACAATTGATTTATTTTGTAGATATATATTGATAAAGGCCTAATCTAAGGCCGAAAACGTTTTATATATTACGTGCTTGAATAAAGTAATACTGCTATCACACACACATTATCATCAGTGTTTTTTGCTTCAAAGGGCCATGATAATTTTCCTGTTCTTATGAGTATTAATTATGATTAATTATCTAATTATTATCATTGATTAATTAACTATTATTAATTATTAATACTGAGTTTTAAGACTCTTGAAAATCAAACAACATGAAATTTTCAGTCAATGAGAGCTATACACTGGATGTTTGTTGCGTTTTATATATATATATACATATATGTTCGCGTAAATTTTTTACACAAGAGTTTTGAATTGAAATTTCAATTCTTAAATTCATATTGGATGCTATATTTGCATCACATATATGAGAGATTTCGTATACCCTTCCTAACTAATTTTAAAATATTGCGAAAAAAACTTCTCAGTCAGAAGTTGAACCTGGAATCTTTGGCTTTTCGTGCCGTTTCAATTAGAAACTCTCGTGTAAAAACTTTACACAAACATATATGTGTACACACACACACACATACTGTAAAATACTCAACAAATATCCAGCATATGGCTCTCATTGACCAAAAATTTCACGTTGTTTATTATTAATTATTAAGTTTGATATGTAAGACATGTATTTGGTTTTTATATATTTTTTAGCTCTTGAGTAAAATTTTATTAATTTTGCAAATTTACAATGTGTGTGAGTTAATCAATTATTATCTATAGAATTGTAAGTTTATTATTTTATTTCTAACAATTATAATAGAAATATAAATTATACTGCATAAGTTAACATGTAAATTATTTATATATTGATTATAGGCTTAGATCCGGATATTAGTCCAGATGAGCAGGAAGAGAAAGCTAGACTGATTGCGCAAGTTCTCGAATTGCAAAATACTTTAGATGGTATATATATATATATATATATATATATATTTTTTTTTTTTTTTTTATTGTAAAACACACAATGTCAAAAGAGAAATATGTGTTGTTGTTCCTGAAGTGTATATGAGTATTTTTTTTAGATCTGTCACAGAGAGTGGACAGTGTGAAGGAAGAGAATCTCAAACTGAGAAGCGAAAATCAAGTTTTGAGTCAGTATATTGAGAATTTAATGTCAGCCTCAAGTGTGTTTCAGTCAACGAGTCCCAACACTAAGAAAAAGTAAATTATGAAATTGATTATATATACGTAAACTAGAAAATTTTTATATGAACCACTTGCAGCAATCTCATGAGAAAGACTAATTGTTTCTAATCTTCTAAAAGTATGTGCATGTGCACATTCAATTGCCGATAAAAGTTTTAATCATTCAATATATTGGGTTAGAATCGCTTTTATTAGCTTATATGTATTTTTTATCAAGAAAAAATGTTAAAATAATCTACTTCTCTCTAACAGATATCGACAAACTAAAATTTTAAAATAATTAAGGTCATTACTCATATATTCACACTATTCACATTGTAACTGTGCTTATGATTATGTGCACCAAAAACATTCGTTCTATATTTGTCCAATTTTTATCCAGTGTAAATGCTTCGCAAAGAGTTCAAGAAAAACTAGCTAAGTAAATCTTAAGTATATTAAATAAATTGTATTTAAATATATTAAATAAATTGTTTAATCTTTTTAAAAATTAGATGAAGTTAATTTATACAATAGTACTATTAACTCTTTTGCTCTAGCGCGCTTGTAACAAAATGTGATCACTGTGAACAGAACGCGTTGCTGACAACTCGACGCTGACATACAGAGTGCTCATGACGCACGATTTGCGTTTTCTTATAAACAGAAATAAAATGTGTGTGTGTATGTGTATGTAAAATAAGATGTAATATAGTATGGGTGTATATGTATATACGCTTTTTGTCCGTGAGCGTCCATTATCAACGGCGTATACATATGCTATTTGTATCTAAATGTCTGTTTTGAGAACGTACATATATATACATATACTTTATGTGAGTGTTCATCTTTAGAAGACGTTTATATACGCTTTTTATATCTAAGTGTCGATTTTTCGAAGGCGTATATATATACGTTTTTTGGAGCGAAAGGTTTAATATATATTTATTATTTTTTTTTAGTAAAGATATTGTCTAATTTGTATATTATCAGAGATAACTTATATATGTATGTGTGTATATACAGAGTGTCCGACAATTAGTGTAAGATCTCATAGGCAGGTAGAAGGAGTAAAACTGAGTCGAAAAGTCCTGAAACATTTTTTTCTATTACATATAATAATTGAATAAATCAAGCCAATCAGCGCCGACCTTTAGCGCACACCAGGCGCGTGATTCACTGACGTGCGCTCGGCTAATTCAATAATTACTTCTTTATTATATGTAATAGAAAAAAATGGTTTCAGGACTTTTCGACTCAGTTTTACTCCTTCTACCTGCCTAGGGTAGATTTATTTTACACTAATTGTCGGACACTCTGTATACATATATATACAAGGTGTCTGAAAATTTTTGACACAGCCGAAGTGTGAAGGTTAGGATTAGATTAATCTGAACCGAAAAGTCATTATTTAGCAAAATTCGCAAGTTATTAAGTAATTAATTAATACATGTGATCGCGTGATAAGCAATGATCCGGACTCTATAGGCGTGTATGATTTTCGGCTGTAAAGAAAACTGGCTTTATGCGATCTTCTAAGAGATAAAGAGAGCAAGAGGCGGAGCAAACAAACGAGTGGCGAGTGACACAGCTTTTTGCAATCAGCTAATTTTTACAAATGAAAATTATACACGCCTACAGAGTTTGGACCATCGCTTACCACGCGCTCATTGGATCACATGTATTAATTACTTACTTATCATTACAAATTATTGCAAAGTTTGTAAAATGATACATGACTTTTCGATTCAGATTAATCTAATCTACTTCATACTCCGGCTGTGTCAAAATTTTTCAAATATCTTGTGTATATATATATGTATATATATACATATGTATATACATACATACATACACACACACACACACACACACACACTTACATACATATATAGCTGTATATATGCATATATATATGTGTATACATATATATACATATGTATATACAGGGTGAGGCTGTTAAGGACGTTCTCCGAATTATTGATTTCCTTAGGATTTTCTTTAAATTTGCGGTATACATAGTTTATGATTTATTTACACGTAGCCTGTTTGGATAGTAGGGGTAGCAATGTTAAATTCCAAAATATGGAAGATTTATATTTCAATTTTTAACATGGATTTTCTATGCTGAGTCTTTGTGAAGTGGAGTTTTTTAAAATTACTGACGACAATTTTCTTAGGATTTTTTTAAAAAACAAGTATGTGGTAGTGGAGAGTGTCCTAATTAAAATACGATTTTGAATAATATGGCAAGCAACTCTTTTTCAAACTGTAGCTTTTTTTGTTTCTTTTTAGTTTTTTTTTTTGGTTTTGCTGGATTTATGTGCGCTGTGTACTGCAGCTATTTTTGAACTTCTGCGCAGAGTAAGCGGGTCTTAGCAGTGCTGAATAGCTCACAACTTAACTTTGTTACAGCAGTACAAACTTACTCATAAGAAGAGATATTTTAGGTTGCTAACTACTGTATTTAGGTTGCTAATCACTGTAGTCGGAGAACGTCCTTAAAACAAGCTACCTGAATAACTTGGAAACTATAAGATTTGTAGAAAAATAGTTAAAACAAAAGTTTTATGGTTTCGAAGAGGAAAAATAATGGCATTATCAATTTAATTATAGATGGCGCCACTTTCGAGATTTTATTATAACGGCCATTTTTAAAAATAAATGTCGAATTTTTATTTAAAACAAAAGGTGTAAGCGGCAATGAGACGAATATAACGGTTTTTTATTTTTTGAAGTAGGATTATTGTTTACTGAGTTGCAGTGTTTCAAAATTTACGCGCGCGCGCACGCACATACACACACACACACAATCAAAAGCAAGCATGTATTCAGGTTGCCTGTTTTAGCGTGTGTATTCCTGTGCGTAAACTTTGGAAAGCTGTAACTTAGTAAAAAGTGATCCAAATGGAAAAATAAAAACCCATTGTATTTGTCTCATTGCCGCTTACAACTTTTGTTTCAAACAAAACATCGATTTTTATTTTAAAAAACGGCCGCTATAATGAAATCTCAAAAGTGGTGCTATCTGTAATTAAATTAATAATGTCATTATTTTTTCTCCTCAGAGCCATAAAACTTATGTCATAACTATTTTTCTATAAAACTTAGTTTCCAAGTTATTCAGGAGACCTGTTTTAGCATCCTTACCCTATACAGAAGCTGCGTTCCGTTTTACATATATGCGCGCATTTATCTATATTGTACGTTACGTGTACTATAGATAAATGCGCGTATATGCGTGAAGCGGAAAGCAGACAGGGTGTCCGGAAAATCGCTGTCAATACTTCGGGAAGTGATTGGGGATTCAAGAAAAAGGAAAAAAAGTTATATAAACACAGGTCCGCAAATAAGTCGTTTCCGAGTTATAGCCACTTTTATGTTTAAAAATCGTAATTTTTTTATAATTATAATTTATTGTATTGTGTTTTAACATAAATAACTGTTGTGTTTAATTATAAATAACTTCGGACTATTTTGATAGAAGAATAAGAACCTGCATTCGTGCTGAAGATGATCATCACTTCTCGAAGTATTGGCAGCGATTTTCTGGACACCCTGTATATACATATATATAATAAAAAAATAAGAGAGTCAGTAATCAATTAAACAATTTTTTAATCTTAATTACAATATTAATTTTTATATTTTTTTATTATACACAAATAGTTGCTCACATACTTGTTTCCATTCGGAAAATATGTGTTAAAAGTAATATTGTAATATTTATCCAAATATTTTTGTTACAGCAGTTTTTTTTGTTTCTTATAGAAAAAGCTTGGAGTTTTTTATATGTGTACGTATTGTATGTAGATGTACAAAAGAGATAGTTATATATAATTTGCAATATATGTTGTAACAATAATATATTCCAAGAAAAATTATTGTATATGCTACGAGCAAGATAAGTGATTTATTTGCTATGCGCAGTAAAACTATTTTAGTTACACATGTATAATCATTTTGCTTGTAAGCGTAACTTTTTAATTTTGCGCAGTTTAATACAAATAAATAATAATAATTATATGTTTCGTCCTCGTGTTATATTTCACTAAAAAGGAAGGAAGAAGGCAATAACGAACTGTACACCTGATGTTCGGATAAAATTTTTATTTATTCAGAGATTTGACAAACTCGATCAGCTTTGTCGTGGAAAATGTGGCAGCGCAGTAGAGGGGGTAATTTACGAATGGTGGTGAAAGTGCCTTAGCCCATGGAGATAAAGGAGGGAGCATTAAGGGATATTATAGGCGCGGGGAGTGAAGCCATGGTGCGGGGGGGATTTGACCTCTAAACAACCTTCAGCCATATTTATATGAGCCACTAGTGCTGCTATCTATTTGATGAGAGTGGTATTATTTCAACACAGTGAGAGTAGTATTATTTGACGTTGATGCGTATTAATCTGTTAGTGACAGGAAGAAAGTGTGAAAAATCTTAATAAAGAAAAAAATTTCAGTTGAACACGATCATCCTTATATTGCAGCATTAATTTATAATATTATTAATTTAGATCAATATTCCATAGAAGTCATAAGTTACATAGCTGGATTTATTGTAAGACATTTAATTAAATACATCATGTGTGATATTTGTGTTAATGCCTTAATTGATAATAGTAAATCAAAGAAAATTATACAAATAAAAGATCGTGGAAGTATAACATATTCTTCAGAAAGCGTGATAAAAATATACCTTGAAACAGAAAAGATTATCAGATTTGCTATGAAAGAAAATAATATAACTTTTAGTTCAAAATATTCCGTTCTTTATATTACACAAAATGTACTTTTAACTTTAAATATGATTAATATATTTGAAGAATTGATAACTCATTCTCATATGATCAAAACTTTTTTTAACATGTCGTAGAATAAATTTAATTAAAAGTATTATTATAAAATATGTACAGACAAGATTTTTTTATATTGTAAAACAGAATAATAAGAATATTAATGTAAGCAAGAGACATTTTTATGATAAATTAATATTATTTTCAGGACAGTAAATTATGTTTATAAGTTATTTTTTTCATTTACTTATTTATTTACCTATATTTATTAACGGCCGATTTCTTCATACCTCTCGATAGCTATCCTCTGGATAAATTCCTCTGAGAACCAATAAGGAGAACCAATTTTTGGAGATATCTTCTAGATAAAGTTATCGAAAACTTATCTAGAAGTGAAAAAATTGGCTGTAAATGTTATAAATATCTATAATTAATATTTATTAAATTTTGTTTTTTTTGTTAGTTTTTTAAGTAAATATGTTTATTAGATTTTTTAAAATATCATTCTGGGCATTATTTCATCGAAGTATTGTAAAGTTCTAACAGATGGCAGTATTAGTGGCTCATATAAACATGGCTGCATAGGCTTCACCTTTTTTCGACAACGCTCCCTCCTTTATCTCCTTAACCTAAGTCCTTTAGGGCCTCCGCATAAACTTTTTCGTAGCGCGTTATGTTACGTTAAGTACTGGCCATAAACTTAGATTTGTCCGTAACTTTAAACTTTAGGCCTGTTCTACAATGCAATAACAATCAATCACAATTAATTATTCTTCTACAATACAATAACAATCAATCACAATTGATTATTTTTCTACAATACAATAATCAATCAATTGATTATTCTTCTGTAATTGGTCTGTGATTGGTCAATTTCTTACGACTTACAGCTTACGACAGTATTGGCTGTGTTCCAAATTTACTGCCAGCGCTGCAAGTATATTGTCATGAAAGCAAGCTACCAACATCGTTTCAATTTTGCTAAGCATATTATCAGCACAAACATAGGTTTCAAATTGGAACAATATTTTAGTGAGTTTCAATGCCAATAGCAGAGAAAATGAACACAAAACAGATATAATCTACCCCAAAAATATGGAAAACAATATGCAAAAGATGAATATTTGAAAATCACATTAAAGAAATATGTGACTCTTGCGTCTTCTACTGATATGGCTAAATTGTATTTGATATTATTTTCCACATTGATTAGCGTTAATTGTTCCATGATAGTCGCCATCTTTAATGCTTTAGCTGCTTCATCTCTGTAGTTGCAGCCATAGACATATAAGAAATAGACTGCGCGTCCCGTATCTTTTCTGTGCAGAAAGAATGGTCAAACTTCGGACGAGGATAGATGCTTCCACCCGAGTCTCTATCCTTGTTTAGTGACGCGGTGATTGGCGGACAAGAAAAGTAGTAGGAATGAGAAATAGCGTAGTGGGGCAATAGAGGA